GTTGATTTAGTTGCAACATCTGCAACGGTGTCATCCGACTTGTGATGGCGCTACAGCAATACTAAGAAGATAGAATACTGACGAATATTCACTTAGAAATGTTTCGCTATCAGGATTTGTCCATTATGCATATATATATTTCGCGTTCTCTAATTTAATAAAGCAAATGACACAACCTAAGACCATCCTTTTTCAAGTTAATCTCAAATGCTTTATCAAACATATTCATTGTTGTGTTGGATTTCCAGTTATATAATGTAGGTACTTAAACACCGATGTTACTTCGATGGTTTTGGGTGAAGCTTAACATGAATACATAAAGTGTATCGCAGTAAGAGTTGGTGCATTCAATCGTTAACAAACAAATCACATTTCAAGCCATACATTGGCCGAATTCATTCACACAGAGCATGGTAGGGTGAGTTCTCAAGAGAGGGACAAAAAGGCAGATGTCAATCAGAAGTTGGAAAAAGCAGAAATGTGTTCAGTCACCATTTTGCGCTCACTTGACTCGCATCGACGCCCAAGTGAAAGATTTCAACTGCAGCTGAGCAGATTATGGCTTGCTTTTCCAATGGTCAGCTTTAAGTACCGTGCTGATAATTTACTGCTAGCCCTTCTGTCACAGCGTCTCCTTAGGTATTTCATTCATGGAAACTTAGCCAGCCGTCAAATACAGGCTTAAACGTATCGTAAATGTCTTCTATTTCCTTACATTGTAAAACTCATTGGGTGTTCTTCAAACCTGCCAAATAGCAAATATCTGACAGATCTTATAATCCTATTTATCGATGAAGGGGAGAAAGACGATTCAACTCGTCCAGTTGGAGTTTTGTCATATTAGCTGATTCCTAAATTCATATCTTCTTTTTAATTATACCCTTGAGTTTTTATATTACCAGATGTATAGTTTAACGTATTTGTTCAGTTTTTGCTTCCAAAATGTGCCCGGCTACGTGTATTTCGGCCTGGATGAATTTTGAGATCAACTGCTGAAGAAAGTTAGATAATTATTAGAAGGATATTCAGTTAGAGGCAATTTTAGTTCCGTTTGACCTTAGGATTCCATTACAGGGCGCGTCTAATGGCCTGGTATTCGTTTTTATTCACGTGATGTCAGCACAGAGGTGATTCCAAAGGACTAACTTAACAGTGGGACAGTGATTGCACGGTTACGTGTGCAATGTACAACCGGTTTGGTATTTGCTCTCAATGCTTCGCATTAATGCATCTGTTAAGAGGATTGAAGCTTTTAATTTTTAATATGAAAAGGAAAATTGTGTCCTGGATTCAGATAAGTTTCCATTGATTGACATGATCGTGGTTCGCCTTAATGGAACTCGTCTTCCTAATTTAGCTTGCGTGTCACTCTAGGTACATATAGTAGGCCTACCAGTATTCAGTTAAGCTCTGAGTAGCCGTGGGAAAGAGATCCAAACTCATTCGTACTGTAACTGACACAAAGACATATCCAAGAATGCTGGAAACTGGATTTTAATTCTACAAGTAAACTCCATATGCCAGTATAATCACATCATGACACTGATTAGAATATTAAGTGAAAACTTCAGTGTCACAACTAATATATCACCTAATCTTCTCAGGAGGTGCACTTCTAGCTCATTTTATTGCAAAGTGTAAAAATATGTAACAGTTTTCTACGTATCCAGCGCGAAGCTTAACCAACTAATCACTAATTGTGGCAGATGGAGTTTTCCACTTGCGCCACTTAACATAACCCGTCATCAAAGCGTTTGCATTATGCAACTATAGGCTTCCATAATGTGAAACTAAACGCTAAGTCAGGTTTCGGACTGTCCGACATGCAGACGAACCAGCATAGAGTCTCTATACCTTATCATAAAGTGACAACTTTCTGGAAGAGAAAGTTTTGGAGATGACCTCCGATTTAGTGAGTCTGTCAAATATCTTCCTGCTATATATAAAGTTTACTATTTGAATCTAGAAAATTTGCAACTCACGTAAAGCAGATTCACTTGGTACCCCAAAAGGTACCCTGCGTTGTTAGTTTGCAAAATGGCTAGACTAAACAACCGTCATAAATGTTCCTTTTGGATTAGCGAATGATGAAAACCGTGCGAAATACCAAGCGCATATACCCACTTGATCTTGAGAATTATGTGAATGCATAAAATAGCACACATTAGCCCGGCAGCAAAAGCGTAAACTCTTGCTCATCATTGTGCACTGTAGTGTCGAATGGGTTTTTGTACATGCAGGAAAAGGTTAGCCGCAGCGAAATCGAACATCTATATTTTATTACAGAGAGTGACCGCTTTGTCACAGCATTATTACGTACTTTCAAATCAAACATAACAAAAGGATTTTATCTATCTTAGCTGTGAAATATTTGTATGGTCTCCAGAAATATAGCTAGAATACCAAACACTGCAACGAGCGCAGTCCTTATATCTAGCGGGTTCGCCTTCAAGGACCTCAGAGACAAGCAACTGCTATCCGCGTTGAAGTCGACGGAATGACTACTTCTGTCTACTACGTTTAAATAGAAACGTACGTTGTGCGCAATTTGAACACCACTGTCACCAGCTAAGCAATATATGTAGTATTTTAGGAGCATTGTTTAACGGATGTGCAATGATCATAACTAAAGAACATTAATAAAAAGCTGTTTCTGTATTTGTTGCACACTTATTGATTGTATTGTTGGTGTACGAATGCTTGGATCTGGCCAGGTAAATTCCGTTGTCGAATTCTTTACAGCCTTGGAAAATTAACCATTGCACTTCTCAAAAATCTATTTACTATTCCTTTTTAATTCCCGGTTGCGCTATGTGCGTGTTTTCAATCCATCTGTGGTTTAACTACGTTTGTCGGTTACATAGTGAAGTGTCCTGGATTGGTGAAAAACGTGGCTTACAGACTCACTGTTCCATCTATATTAACCACGTCGTTTGGTTAGCTATAGGTATTACTCACAGGTTCATAGTCATACTTTAGACGCAGCGCCGCAGAAATTATCAGAGATAACCTTTTTCATCCTCTGGCATATCGTTTTATGAATTACATCAAAGCAGTAACAGAAAATGAATTTAGCATGCTGCATTAAATTCTATCAATCTTCGTCAATGTAATTTGTAAGTGGCAGTCCCACTGATTCAACGTAGCCGCTTGATCAATTGCAGAAGTTTGTGTAGCATGGTTGCGAACGACAGAACGCGAATTAACTGCTTATGGTGTAATAAAAACGTGCTAACGGCACCTGCGTTATTGTTACTCATGTAACATAGACTTAATGGTATATATTATTGTCATGGGTAGCAGTTATAATGACACCCAGCTATGCTCTACAAATACTAATGATCCCATGATATATTTGTATTAAGCGTAAAACTTCAGTCTCAGAAAATATGTTTCTACATAAATGTATTATGATTCAAAGCATCAGGACGTGTTAAACATGCCGAAGCACTTTCTGAAAAACTTCTATTGGCTATTCGCTGCTATCTACATTCAGATTTGTGACAATAAAATTTCTGACTGATATCTACACTCAAGGCGTTTGATATTTCAAGATTTTTGATTTCGTTGTATGCTTCATTTACTTAAAGATTACAAAATCCATCATTTCGCGTAATGGAGTTGCTAATTATGCAAACATTTGGTTTGAGGGCTTCAGAAATTTCGACTTCTATTTAATGGAGGCAGCATCGAGTCTATGTAAAGCAACGGCATTTCTTCTAAACCCACGAGATATTTTCTGGAGTTATAGCATCGGATGATTTGAATGCAAGGAATTGAAAATCAGTTCCAATGATAAATGCCAAAACAGGCGCAAACCACCAAGGAACCCATGCATTTACCTTCATTTTGGAGTAGTCCAACTTTACTTGCTTAACATTCAATATTATCAATCGTCCTTTGATCTAGCATGCAAATGGTACTGATGGAGATACGCTCAGTCTAGGTCAAGGCTACTGTGGTGTTTAAATGGAGGTAAAAAACGGTAAAATGTTTTTACAATAGTTCATAACCACGCATAATCACTGAAGTTTGACTGACGCAGTCGTGGGTAGCTTAATTTGATAGGAGATATTTGGCCAATTTATTTATACAACTTTCAAACCGCTAATTTTGAAGTCACACGATCATGGTTGGATTACATGATGTTTGTTTCGGTTATGATATTAAGATAATTTGGTAATCTTGTTAGTTTAATTGGAAATTTATTACGCTTATACTCGCCCAAACTGCCATCATACTCCCTTAAACGCGCTGTACGGCCATTACATCGTTTTAGGAATCGTTAGCAGTGCGAATTTCTTCTGACCATAATGAGTCACGAACCAGCAACTCGACTTTTGCGAATCCGTGGTTTAGACCACTAAGTTACGGCAAGCGGCAACGATTGTCATGCCAAAATTGCTAGATGTAACATAGCACCGGCCGCTATGCACTGCTGACTTGCACATTACTAGAGTGCAGGGAACAGAATAGCACCTCACCTAACGATGAAATTTAAAATACTTAGGCTAACAAGTAACTTTTGGCGATATAAGTAGCTTGGTGTGTGCACTGATTACAACAGAGCAGTAGTAGGAGCCAAATGACATAAAATGTTCATCACATTTAGGCTTAGTCAGACACCCAGAAATGGTCCGGAAAAACATAGTACAATTGTTTCATAATTTCTGGAATCATCTACGGTGGTTAGTGGGCTACCGTGTCATCTGTACGGTAGTAACGTACCAGTCAGTGAATAGTGTGCAAAGTCATATCACGTGTCTTAACTTTATTTGACCCTCCTTACCGTCCTCCGTAGCCCAGTGTTATTAACCGCAGACTAGCAACAGTGCAGTTGCTACTTCCAACCTCATAGTTTTACATGGAATGGGAAAGGCTGACGATTCCCGAACTAATGCAACAGCCGTGCAGTGACTTTCAGACATGTGATGGCTGTCTGAGTAAGTCTGAATTTGGTGAGTCTCCACCTGTACCATCCAAATTTTCTCTTAATCCCTTGTAGGTGTAGAGTTTACCGAAGAAACAGAGATAGTCGATACAAATAAGGACGTTATGTAAGTGTATTTTCACCACTCAGGGCACTAAATCGGTAGCGGAATAGTCTTCACTTCCACTCCCACATAATTTGCTTTGATATAATAAACAAAAATAGCAGTGAAATTGTCGTAACTTGTTATAGTGTATACAGAAAGTGCCGTTTAACAATCGAATGTACAGATTGTACAGCATTTTGAGACGGCAAGTAAATAAAAGTTTAACTGTTGCAGGTAATCCGGTTGTAGAAACTCTGCAAATCACCACTGCAGCGTAGTCAGCTACCTACAAGGTATATTTTTGTACATAGGCCATTAGTATCAAAAGTAGCTTAAAGGAAGCCTTCCGGGTAGTTACGTTTTTAAAATGTAGGCCATCATTCGTGCATGTGAATCCTTGATCAATCTCTAATGGATATTCAGCACACGGAAACATAAAGTTTTGGGCAAAGATGGCTGCTGGCACGTTTCTTCTGCAATCCTGTTAGACTTCTCCGATCGGTGGTAACGATGACCTCCAAAGGATGTGCAAAAGGTTAGCCTTTAAACAGATGCCTAAATTACAAAGGCCGGAGGGACGCGTAGAGGACTGAAGCAGGATCCTTAATTCAAAAACAATGTTGATGCAAGCATTCGACATATCATAAGGCATCGTTGTTATTTTGAGCGGTTCTTGAGAATGATAGAAAAAGGAATTACGTAGTACTTTTACATCACAGAACACAAATAGCTGTCTCCCAACGGTTACTTTCTGCGTAGCAATTGCTGAAAGGTTATACAGCTCCAGACGGACCGCGGTTCACGTTCTCTAAAAAGCGATTTATATCTTCCTCTGTACCCGTGATTTTAGCATGTCTGTAATTGCCCCATAGTGTAGCAGTTACGTCTAGAGCTATTAAATCGCTGGATACACGTGATACGACTTGCAGAATCAGCACTCCGTCTGGTCCGAGGTTGTTATCAACAAATCGGGTGCAGTCGCGTTCTTCCGTGTTTGAGAGTTGTCGAATCGCCCGGATGTATTGCTTGATATAGGCTACACGACGCACAGGGAGCAGAGTGTTGAAAGCCCAGTGAACCGTGCTCAGCAGAGTGACACACGTCAAAATCGCAAACCAGAACCACAAGAAAACGTACACTTTCTCGACGAAGTAGTTGATTGGAAGAACGCATTGTATCGTGTAGCTGTAGGTATGGAAAGAGATAGATGTTGATGTGAAATTCATTCAAATACTACTAAGACAAGATAGCAAACGGTGGGTGGTAACAGTACCTGATGTGACCAACATACCAACTATTTTGAAATATTGTTAGCGAAATTCTAAACGTTTGAGATTATTTGCCATATATCTAAACATTCGAAGTTTACCCACAGTGACCTAATTATAATAACATTTTCGTCTAGCCTAAAAACTGATAGTTTAATTTAATCAAAATCAAGTGCGCGTAATAAGATCTTTCAAATGAAGTCTGTTTGATCTTCCGGTAAGACCAGATTACTTTGTTGGGTAGACAAATGATGAATCAACGCACTTTCAGTACGCACTTCCTAATCCGGTACATCTGACCAGCTTTCACTGCTGTCTGTGACTAGTTACTAGCGGAGTTTGATGTGCGGCGATCTTATCGCCCATGACATTTGAGGTATCCCACTATGACGTGATTGGATAAGTACACGATATCATTGCCTATAGTTTCGTCAAAATTCAAAGCTAATCAAAGTCGCTTTCGTGTCCGAAATGTCTAATTTTCTATTTTCTTGTTCATCAATTAAGTTAAACTCGCACAATGGGTGACAGTACTTCCACCGTAATTCAACAAACATATCAAAAATTGCAGTTAAGAACAGTATACCATGTAACAATATATAGTACTGATTAGTAAGGAAATAAGGCGGCGAAATTTTAGGTTCTTTTTTACTTATTTTGGTCAGCATTTTAAAAGCATTTACCAAATATTACATTACCAGCTTTTCAATGAGAAAACATATCACATATGCTACAAACGCTGCATAATTGATAAACATTGAACCCAAGTTTATTAACCAAATGTTTATGAAATTCGTTGTACAAATGTTATTTTCACAAAAGTGTTCAATACAGCACGTCGGAAAAAAATACAGTGAGACTGGACCTAACCGTGTTGCCATGATTTGCGTGCCTCAGAGATCATAGCTTGGGAGTGCATTTTTGCACCTTAAGAACCACTTATACCATGTTGGTTAATGATTAGAGAGCAGATAAACCCAGTCTCCTGCCTATCCAGGTTGGGGTTTGGAGTAAGGTAGCTACTTAGCCCCTAAAACGGTCTGCTTGTAGTCCATTGCAAATCCTGTTGCCTTGCGGTCAGGTTTTTGAAACTAAGGCTTTGGTTTAGAACCCTAATCCTTCTGCTGTCTAGATCCGGCCAACTTGACAGTATCCTGTCTACGCAACACTATGAATCTTTCTTCAAATTATTTTCTGATGTTCTGGCCAGCGCAGAGGATAATCAACTGTGCTCTGTCTGCTGCATCCCGCTAGGAGGATAGAAGTTTGGATGCTACAACTCTATCCTTCCCGTCCTCTTATTCCCCATATCCGCTTTTTTACCCTTATCGTCCCGCAGCAAATTCACTTTTCTCCCACGTCTTCGACCCCCCAAATCTTGACCCTCTTCTACCATGTTTTGATATGCGTTCATCTTCTAGTTTCAACTCACATGTAAACGCGGAGTGTCACTCCTGCCCTGTCTACAAGCCCATGTCTAATCAAGCTGTCCACCCCAGTTCCTCGGCTTCATTAGGAGCCCTCGATCCTCCTTCAGAATGGCATGCCTCAAGGTACGCATATTGCTACAGATAGGTCAACAGGCTGCACGTACCCGAATAGTAGAGGCACTCTCCATCGTCATCCGCTGCTTATCGGAGACCAGCCTGCCAGACTCGACCTCTGTGCTCACTCCGCGATCCCCTTCAGGTGACACTAGTAACACTTTCTCATTGCGCCTATTCGATGACGATGCAGCTTCGAGCACCGGACAAGCCGGTGTTGGTATTGCCGTTAGTCTCCGGGCTGAAGCTTCTCTGGTTGATTGGATTCCTATCAATAGCCGGATGTGTGCGGTGGGACTGGCTGGCGCGCTCAAAGCTTCGGGGTCTTGCGGGACTAGTGGTGTCCGTATGTGATCGACACTTAACCGCCAACAAACTCTAGCGATGCTTTGTTAAAAGACGATTTTTCTCGTCAACTGTACATGCTCCAACGCCACAGAAATAGCACGGACAAAGCCGTGCTGGTGGGGATCTGAATGCTCAAACTGCAATATTGTCCACTGCTGAACTGCATCTGGGCGGCCAACATGGTGAAAGTTACCAAAATGATAACGGCGAGTGGTTACCTCGTTTGTGTGAAGATGCCCGATTATGTCTTGCGAGCATTAACTTCCGACATAGCGCCCTCCGGAGGGTGACTTGCCGCCCACCAGCATAGAACCAGCCATGGACGCAACTCGATCTCGACGTAATCAGTTACCGGTGGAGAGGCTGCTTCCAAACCTGTCGCTCGATTTGGAGCACATGTGTGGACACTGATTGTACTTTGTGTACTGATCGGCGGGTACGTTTCGGCGGTCGCGCTCGACGAACCAGTGTGCGCATAGACACCAGCTAACTGGCGAAGCCAGCTGTTCTGAACGCGGATAGAAGTACACTGACATGCAGCATGAGCGACCGCGGACTCAATATAGTTCTAGATCACTGGTCGCATGTTCATCAGAACTTACTTGAAGCAGGTAAGTCATCATCTGGTAAACGCAATAGTCAAAATAGATATTAGATCTCTTCGCAGTGTCTGGAACTTATCGATGCTCCCCGAGACATTCCAGCTGCAAGCGAACACAGTGAGACCCGTAAAGTTCTCAGAGCAAATCTACTTGCAAGACAAAAGACAGACCGTGAATTCAGGTGGTCTCATCGTGCTTCAGAGATGCAAGTGGCCGATGCTCTTGGTAACCACTGGAAGTGGTTCCGTCTGATACAAGAAACGGCAGCATGAGACTTGTTGTTAGTGAAACTATACGTGAATACAGTGGACAGCCTATCCATAGCTTGCCCACACGTTTGGAGCGTTGGGATGAGCATTTTGAGAAGCAAGTTAAACGGCCGGAATTGATGGATCCCACACGAGCCAGTGATCTCCATGCTCCTTGAGCTGCCCTTTAGATCCACCCTCTAGCTCAAAAACCGAATATGAGATCGAGCTGTTCAAGTTGTATGTAGCTGCGAGACCACAGGATTTTCCCCCAGCCCTCATAAAATTTGGGGGCCCTGCTATGCTTGCTGACGTACACGAATAACTAGTGAAGCTGTAGGAGAAGCAAAGTGTCCCAACCATCTGGAGCCGCTCGGTTATTGTCCCGATCTTCAATGGTGGCTTGCTTTCCTAATGCGGCAATCATAGAGGAATCTGTATAGTCCTCATCGCCACCAAATTGGTTGCCTCCGTAAATTTTCAGACTGACTGGCGATCTTATATCCAGATTCGTGAGGAGCAACCCGGTTTCGTCGGAACGAGGCTGCATCCATCACATCTTCAGGTCGTGTCAGCTGTCGGAGCCCTCGTTGTCGTGTTCCACGATTTCAAAGCTGCATTCGATTCGGCTGCTCGATGTACCCTTTGGGATTGTCTGTCGCTTTACGCGCCTAGCTCAGGCAGAATGAGGGCTAACGGAAAGCTGTCGCCGCCCTTCAGTGATCCCAGCTGTGTGAGACAAGGATGCCTGCTATCACAATTCCTCCTCAACTTCGCTCTTGGCGGATTCATGGCAATCGTGTTCATATGGCGCGACTTAGAATGTGTGAATCTGCTTCCACGGGAACGACTTCTTGACTTGGAGTATGCTGACGATATTGCCCTCATCTGCGACATCTCCGAGACGTGCCAAGCTGCAATGAACAAATTAGCAGTTGCTGTCAGTCGCTTCGCGATTGACTTTGTACCATCGAAATGCAGGCTTTCCTTCAAGGTTGGCCTGGACCCCTACCTCCGCTGACCGTTGATGGAAATCGGTTAGAAGTCCCACAAATATTCATCTATCTGGATAGTTATGTCAGCGCCCTTGGGATCAAAGATGAGATCACGAACCGTAAGGCTAAAGCACTAGACACTTTTACCAGTCTCCGCAACCTATGGCGTAAGCACGATATCACCCACGCCCTGAACGGTACAGTTGCAGTGCAACGGTAAGTTTGACCCTACTATACGATTACGGAACCTGACCCCTTAGATCAGCTGACATAAAGATTCTAGTTGTTTTCGACCATCGGTTTCTTCGCAGCTTGACTCACATCTGGTGGGATCACCGCGTGAGCAACGAGCGTGTTCGACGCCATGTTTACGGCACTGGAAAAGAAAATGAACCGCTCAGCACCGCCATTGCACGCACCAGGCTCCGACGGCGCTGCTATGTGATAGGCATGCCAGTCCACCGGTTACTGCGAAGTGCTTGGTTTGAGCACCTGGAGTGTGGATGGAAGAAGAGGAGGAGTGGCAATAGTATGACTTGGTCAAGTGGAATGTAGGTCCTCACTTCGAAGCTGACCGCAGTTGGAGCTTCTTGAGTCCCTGGTTGGGAACATAAAAATATTAACACGTTTGACAGGATGCACTTGCTGATGTGGCTAGGATCCGACCTCAGTGGTGTTCATGCTGTGAGTTTCTTTGTCCCACCTCATCCCTCTTAGCCTCCCCTCCAACCATCATCTCATTTCTTAGCATAATATAATTTAAATAATAGGTTTTTGCCGCCTATTAGCCGGATGATATCTTCCTGAAACAATGCCCATCCGTTATTGTTTGCCCAGTTGACATGCACCTGTTGCAGGTTATTCCTTTATCTTCTTTTATATATTGTGGCACAGTAGCTGAGGTGTTTTCCACCTCCAGCTAACGTGTGTAATGAGGACTGATTTCTAATTGCACATTTTTGGTCCCCAAGTAGTTTGTGCAATATTCATACTGTAAATGTCCTAATATTGGTCTTAGAATACGTCACCGCTGTCGATCAATTTATAAATTGAATGTGATTATGGAGATAAGATGTGGCGGCATCAACCTATTATTCTTGCACACGTGGATATTTATCGAGTTTTTCTAATTTATAAGTAGTAAATGAAACTATGCGTGTGTGTCTAGCTATTAGCTTAT